ATTTGTAAAATCATAATCAATGGAGCTTTGTACTTCACTTTAACCGTGATCACAAAATATTTCAACTAATCTCTTTTTCAAAGCAGTTTAAAGAAGATGGGTCATCAACAGGAAACAGTCCCACCGTCATATCGGTGTAAATGTGCTCCGAGGCCAGACAGAAAATAACCGAGTTTATTGTGTCTGTGAAGTCACTGGTTATCTGATGTTTACTCCTTTACAAACACGATGCACTGAACACTGTCCCGACTTTTACGTTGCTGCTTTGGATGCAGTATTTGGATGAGTGTTATTTATGTTTCCTAACGGCCTTTGTTTACAGGGGGACACTTATCAGTGTGACACACGCGCCGGTTAACAGAAAGGAGAAGTTCAAGTGGCTGCTGCTGGTATTTAATAAAGATGTCGAGTTATAGAAGTAAAGCCTTCAGGTCATCTTCAGCCTGAGAGGGAAGAGAAAGCTGTTCACAGAGAAAACGCTGTCTCACAAATACAACACGACTTTAACAAGTTCAAGCAGGTTTTAATAGTTACATGCTGAAATAAATCATTTGGGTGTATACAGTTTACTGATAATTAATTAAACCCTGTGGGCTGCTGTCCCAAATAGAATGATAAACAGTGCTTTAAAACACACCAGTTAAAATGTTTACCATGTTGACATTCAGTAAATTCTCCCACCATGACCAGCAAAACTGTGTACACATAGAAGACAACTTAAAATGATTATATTTATTCCAAAGAGGGCCTTATAGTTAAATCACAAAAGAAGTTTTAGTAAATACAAAAGTAAATGAACACACTGCTCTGATCTGATCCGTATCAAAAATGTACTTTTGCTTTCCATTACCAAGTCATTACTTGTGAGAGAGGCTTCTTCCATCTTGTCTCCAGCAGATGGAGCTGTAAGAGTGCTCCTCAGATCCAAAAGTTTGATTCTTCTTGGTCTGTGAATGTTTCTTGGGCAAATAGCAGGAAATATCTCACATTGTTTCCAACAAATGTGATAGGACATTTTCAAATTTAAAATGAGAATAGACTGTCAGAATTTGTAGTATGGCAAGAAAAAAGCAGCTAAGTGAAGAAAAA